GCGTCAGTCCTTTGCTCCACATGTTGTTTAAGTTAAGCCCGCTGCGGGGCTATCAGTCATTTGCACACACACTCGCGCACCTGGTCGGCCGATCTAAGGACGTTGTACACATCTACACTGAATGAGCGAATCCACTTAATGCGGCAGCCCAACACGACTTGCACCTCTTCAGGAATGCAATTCGGGCTCAACCCGTTACCATTCAATCGCGGTTAAATGATCAAACCGAAGGTTGGCTAGAGAATTTATTTGTTACACAAAAGCAATAAATAATTGAACGACAACTCTATTATTAACCGCGATTCAATGGCTAAAATGTTGGCTGCAGCAGCAAGCGGTACGCGACACTGCACGTAAAGACGACGGACGTACTCTATTTCCGGAGACAGCACAGCATCGCTGGTCGGAGGGGTACTGGCGAGAGCGCGAGGCTCTCCCCGCGCCGGAGCTTTCAGCGATATTCAGCGCGGTGCGCGTGCCAAGCGCAGCCCACGACGCGACGCGCGCTACCAATACCAACCTGCTTCACATCACAATCGGGACGCCTCAATAAAGCTTATTTTGTTTATAATCCACGTGTTTAAATATTGTTCTAACCTACTGATTTTCTAATAAACGTAACGTGTCAGTCATCATAACGAGACTTATAGAAACAAACAGACTTAACGAATATCCGTCTTATTTAAAAAAAACACATTCCTACTGCTAAGTATAGGAAAATGAGAATGATAAATGAGAAGAAGAATTGTACCCTATAAAACACAAGAAATGCATTAATTAATCACACGATTTAGATATTATAGGTTCAGGGATTTAATCTACTTTTGTATTCAATTTTTTTTAAATGAAATACCTACCTTCCTTTCGCACAATTAAGTACCTAGGTGCCTACATGAGCGGTGAACCAAGGCAAATTGGACTTACCTGGAAGTACCAATTGATAGTGTCGTAAGTCCGTTTCAATCATGGCTTAATTTGTTTCTAAAGTAGATTTAATTACTATCAAATAGAATAGGATCGCGCCAAATGGCTTCGACAAACGTAGGTAATAAGACTAGAGCGATGTTTCGGTCACGTAGCATTAATACCTGTCGACGCAGCAAGAAGTGTTGGCTCGAGCGAGCTGATGGTGGTGCCACCAGCCGGCTAATACATCAGCATGTCGGTTTCGAAATTACTGCACTTGGTGCAGTGACATCCTCAAAGCCAATGCCTACGCAAATATAGTTTTCATTCGAATCTATTTACAGATAGTCCTTGTACCACAGTGTCAGACAGCGAGTTTAGAGGTAAAACGAATAATGAGGAAAGTTAAATAGACATTTTACACTCTAGCTAGTAAATAAAATTATAGTTGGTAGTATCTGCTTAATACTTAATCACTACGTAGTATAAAACAAAGTCGCTTTGTCTCTCCCTATTCCGATGTAAGTAGGTAGGTAGATATGCTTAAATCTTTTAAAACTACGTAACTGATTTTAGCGCAGTTTTATTTAATAGATAAACCGCAAATTGGAGAGGAAGGCTTATTTGTACATATTACAATATGCATTCAATAGTGGAGAAATTTAGAATAGATAGACTTTAGTCACGGTTTTGCAAGGTTTCCCAGGGGGCGGGTCGCTGGTATAAAATAATAAAATAGTAGGTAGTTATAAAGTAATACAAAATACTTTAATAAAACACCTACGGCGAATCGAAAGACTCAATCAGGTATCTATAACATAAGTCAGATTAGGGAATCAAATATTAAACCCATTTTTCAAAAGGAATAAGTACCTAGATCGACAAACGTGCGTGCAGCCGGATCTCTTGCTGGAAAATCAATCAGCGTCGCAACTACCAAGTGCGTTGTCATCCATCTTGAGTCGTTAGGAAATGGAGGATTGGGAATACCGAGGGAAAGAATGGGTCCTCCGGTAACCTTACCCATACAGCGAAACACAAAGCACGCACGTTGTTCCATGACGGTATTGTCTAAGCTGTGTTACATAAAGCAGAAATTACGATTCGTGATTATTATCGTCGACTCTAAAACCTTACCATTTACCATTTTATTTATTTATTTAATTCAGGCTACTAAGGCCTATAAACACTGTAGGTACATAAATAACAATCTAAAAAAACAATAAACTAATACATAATAAAAATTTTACAAAATTGTTAGTAGGTACTTATATAATTACTTAAACCTATGTTAGTAACACTTCACTATGCACTATGCTACTGTGCGGTCCTGTGGCACTTGTCCGCAGAAGCGACGGAAAACCATGACGTCCTGTGGCCAGAAGCTCTCGTTCAACACGAGGTGTAGGAGACACGTGGGCACTCGCACCACGAACGCCTTGAAATTGGCGTTATGGCGCGACTCCAACAGCAGCACTCTCGGGGCGTACTTCAGCTTCTGACGTACATGTACTCCATTATGTCTTCCGCCTTAGTGGTGTAATGTAGGCGGGAGATGTACCTACACCGGGGTGTTCGGTTTGGCGGCACGAATTTTAATTTCAGGCTCCATACCCGTGCCGCAGCGGTTCTTGTTGATTCGTTGACGGCGCTTCCTCCTTTGCACCATAACGAATCCCACATCTGACGATGATGAATTTATGCTTCTAAGTAAGTATTCAGCGATCTTTATGTACCTACACAACTACCTACTTTTTATGCTTAATATAATATCAAATCGATACTCCCGGGCACGCTCGCTGTTGTAACAGCTGTAAGACTCCTCTTTGAGGAGTAGCTTGAGAGACGCCATGGCGTCCTCACCTTCCGCATAACGCAGGTGCTTACCGGGCACGGCAGCTTCGGTAGGTTCCTGTTTCGGATCCACAGAGAGAAAATGCCCGAGTGTCATCATTGTGCGGACCATACGGTGGTGGTGTGCCCTGATTAGGCTGAGCACCGCGGTATCCTGAGGGAAGTGATCGGCGGGGGGAGACCTCTCGCGTCCAGCCTTAGTCGAGGCTTCTCCTCTATATAATTGGGAAGCCTTCTCATCTTTTTGCGAAACAGTGATGCTCGCAAAGGAGGAGGCAGAGCGCGTGAGGAAAGCAGGAGAAGGAACGGGGCGTTTTAGTCAGTAAGAGTCGCACACTCCCTCTAGCCAAACCCTGGGCGCGAAAAACCAGTTGATGATTTACCTCCACAAAAAAAAAGGTAGGTAGATAGGTAGGTACTCTGCTTACCTATAGTTTAAAAATAGTAAATGGTTGTGGTAATGTACCTATATCGATGATCGATGTTTGACTATCTCGGTTCAAAAAGTGTAGGTATAAGTGTAGGTAGTTATATGTAGGTATACTTACTTTTAAAAATAAGGTAAAAGAAAGTTGTAAGTTTGCACCTGTTTCCAAGACTTAAAAATTAGAGATGATCTAATTACCTATGTAGGTAGGAGGGATTGGAACAGTTTGCCGGCTGCAGTCTTTCCGTCCGAATACAATTTAGGTGTCTTCAAGGCTAGAGTGAATAGGCTCTTAATAAACTAGTGCGCCTTACCATCAACGATTGCATCACTGCTTACCATCAGGTTGCAGTCAAGCACTATTTTATTGCAGGTAAAAAAAAGGTAGTTATTATATTCACATAAAACGAGTAGATAAGTAGGGAAGCACCGCGTGAGATACTTGATCTCAACCGCATGTTTTCATAAGTAAAACACAAACCTAAACAATCGTAAAACGTGAGCATTTTATGGCGCCGGACATAAAATACTGGGATGTTGGTAGCGAGCAGTTATTCAACTAATAGTTACCTGGCGCAAGCCAAACGTAATCGATTGCCAAAATGTTATTATCAAATGAAAATAAGTACTTGACATTTAATTCAATCTCACCTCGGTAAATAGCGTAAATAATTAAACTAACCAACCTGGTAGGTATTTGCCCAAACTGTAGGTAGTACCAAAGCTTTCTTCCACGGGACGGCGTTTGGTACAAAAATTTTTGGTTATCTAGTGAGGACATGATTTATCGTCTTTTCGGACGAGGTGGCTGGGCTGGCAACAGGCTGCCGCGCAACGTGTCGCGGGTTCGATTCCCCTACAACAACTGTGTGTGAACCACATATTACTAGTTCAGGTCGGGTTTAAAAAATAAACCTCACTCAATCGGCGAAACACGCCGATAATAAGCGCAATGAGGCACCGCGACCTCGGCCCAGAGCAGGAGAAGGAACGGGGAGTTTTTACTTATAGTCATTTGATGACTTTCCCCTCACAAAAAAAAGGCTACCGGGTTTTACACTGCGTGTAATGAATGGTCCTAATTACGGGGCCATCCCGCTTGCGTTTTGAAATTCGAATGAAAATCACCCTATCACTATTAGGCCGTAGTATCACTCGTCAAGCCGGCCTATTCGTATTCGATAGAGATTTCTGAGACATCCCATTATTATCACCAAGTCTGGAGCTGATGATGGTACCCGCGGTATATCGAGGGGAACTTTCGTGTATAATATGTTCCTATACACATATTCGTATACAAATCTAAAATCGTCAATTTAACTCTTTTATTATTAACATGTAAATAATCAAAGATTTTACCATATCTAAACCTGCTCTTTTGGAAATTGGTTAAGAAAATTATTTTTAATATCGGTAGTTCACATAATATTATGATGGTTGGCTAGGTCTTGCTGGGCGGCTATCAGCCGCTGTACTAGGCGTCGTGTGTTTGAGAAAATACTAGCATTAAGCATTACAATGTACCTACAACAGTCCTTTTTTAATAGGTTATCTAGTTAATAAAAAATCCATTTTAATTTATAAAATCTTACAATTTATTCCTTACAACTAAGTTTTCTTATAATTATTGGACATACATAGATTTGAATGAATAACTCTGTTATTGACTTTTGAACAGCAAGTAGAGATGTAAGATCTAACATTTTTATATAATAAAAATGTTTGTAGGTTATAAGTGACAATAATGAACTTATACTTTAACTTTTAGATCAAGAATTATAAAAATATACAATTTTTAATCTTGTACCAAAGAAAAAGAAATTGGTTTAATTGTCTGTGGTTATTTCTTAATGATCTATGATAATAAGTTCGTCTATGCTCCAGTCTTCATAGGAATGGTCAGGGAGGTAACGTCTGATGATGATTGGAATCTTCCCATGTTTAAGTTCTTTCATAGCTATCTGTAATGGATCTGTTTCTCCTTCAAGCTCTACCATCACGGGCGCACACATAGCTATTTGCAGTGCTCTTGTCCCTGTAAAGTAAGAATATTAATTAATTAATCATCAATTGTAGGAAAAATACATGTTAGGGAGTTCTTTTAAGTGGTATGCTAGACTGATTGGCAAGAAAGAAGAATTGAACCTAAAAAATGTATGTTATGGTACTCTGTAGTTTCTGCCCTCTCCATAGGATGTGTAAAGTTATTTAAAATAAGTATTGAACAAACAATTTCATGCCATTTCTGTAGTGTCACTATTAACATGTATATTTCGGTGGACTATAATAACAATGATGCGAGGCAGTTGGGTATAGCAAGCAACTGTTATTCATACATTATTCTTGTATGTACAAAGAATATCTTACCCAGAACTCTAGCCCTCTCGTACTTGGTCATGTATCGTGTAGTGATGCGTTTTGACTTCTCAACTCCCCCACCAGCCTGACCAGGGGCCAGACATTGCACGTTGTATCCTTCCTCCTCCTGTTCCTCAGTTTCTTCAATGTTATCGTCCTCTTCCGCGATATCATCGTAATCTGCCCCCGCATCGTCCGCCTCATATTCTTCGTCAGCCATGTTATTGAAATTACTTAATTTTCTGCCTTTGCACTGGATATAATGTTTTTACACACGGATTTATGCTAAACAAAATACGAGATTTAGGTTAGCTTTTGAGTGTTGTTGCTTGTCGTTGTCGTACTTGTCGTTGTCACATTTTTGACTTGACTGTCTGTCAGTTGTCAGAATCAAAGACAATTTATTTCAGAGTCAGCGTCAGAAAGCTCTTTTAATTAATACAACAGTTATCAGTTATTTATAGTTACACAAAACAAGAGTTGTAAGTTATATTCAGTCTTATTTTATTATACAATTATTATATTAAAAATGTTCATACCAAATTTTTTTTAAATAAATTGTTTCGACAACATTTAGCTAACGAATTTTCATTGTTATTCATAACTATTATTTGTTTAATAAAACAATTGATAAAATATTTAATTTTATAAATAAAGGCTGATATTTAGATCTTTGGTTTTAGGTAATTTGTATGATTTACTTTAGTTTTTTATTTAAATAATTCATATTTTGTGAACGCTACGTTATTTACAGTCTATGGAAATTAAAGAATTTTTGCTTGTCGTTGGATCATTGGCAGCCTTTCCTTTTCCGGTTCTGCACCAAAGCTGTAACCATGCCGGTGTGTATTTTTATTTATCTGAGTAAATTATCCAACTTTGTTCAATGAAATCAAATGGTTTCTGCATTCTTTGTTGCTTTCTGATTTTTCTAGTAGTTAAAAAAGTGCCGTCACAATATCTACAGTGAAGTTCGGATCTCGACTAAACAAGCGGATACACATGGCATTATCTGACATGTCAGACGAATAACTGACAAAAAACTCGCAAGTTTATCCCCATAGCCTTATAATTTCGAGCAAATGAACTTAATTTTTGTTCAATTAGTGCTATCAGAGTTCTCCCAAGTACTCGTTTCAAATTTTGCGAAGTGACCAAATAACCTAAATGTGCGTGTTGTCAATTTCAGCTCGCAATTGATTTACTGCATCCTTCTCCCGCGTCGGAGAAAAGGAAACACAAGTTGAAGAGGCTGGTGCCACATCCAAACTCATACTTCATGGATGTCAAGTGCCCTGGCTGCTACAAAATCACAACTGTATTCAGTCACGCGCAAAGGGTGGTCGTATGCGCAGGTTGCTCAACGATCCTTTGCCAGCCCACCGGTGGTCGCGCTAGATTAACGGAGGGTAAGTCAATTCATTTTTTATTCATGACACTTCCTGCAGTCCTTTAAAAACATTTCATTGTTTATTACTGTCACTTGAAAGTTATAAAATCATTGCACCACATTGTCTTATTGGTTAAATATTTACAATGTTTTAAGAAAGATTTTAGTAGTTTATTAGCCTTAAACATTACAATCCAAATGTCTCATAGTTCAGCTATTGCAAAATGTCATGCATTTCAGTATAGTGCAAGATATTTTCCTCATTATATTGATAATATTATAAATTAAGACAAAAATAGTTATAGATAACAATGCTATAGCACGGCTAATGAACTTGCAAGTAATTTTCAATTTTAATTTACTATACTAATCCAAATTTCTTTATTTACAAAAGTTTGTGTAAACTATCCATTTATTTACTTGAATCTTATCTTGCAACTGATTATATTATTCCTAAAATGTTGTGAAATAAATATCAATATATTTGTTAATTCAACAATGCAAATTTTCCTAAATATTAGGCAAAATGAATGAAATAAAATTTTATTTTAATATGAAATTGGGGAAAACTAATTAGATTCCTACATTATGTACACAGTTACAAATCCTGTGAGCAAATTGTGCAATGTGTGTTATTTTGCTTGCAGTTATGTGCAATAATATCAAGTCCTTTGTCAATGCACAGCACACGGTTATCACTAACTTGTGTTATTATTGTAAATACATATATTCTGGCCCTGAACTAGCTAATCTAGGTAACATTGGGTAGAACTATGTTTGGCAGTGGTTGGTTTATCAATCTATTTATATATAAAAGAAAGTTCTGTTAGTAACACTATTTATAACTTAAGAACGGCTGAGCCAATTTGGCTGATAATTCATAGGTAGTTAGCTAAGAACTGCAAGAATAGGATACGATAGAGTATGTAGTGTAGGATACATAGGGTTGGGTAGGGCAGGCAGAGTAGAGTAGGATAGGAAGTCTAATGACGGGAGCGATGCTGCGGGTAAGAGCTGGTATTTATATATAAATTCCTTTTTTACCACTATACTCAATGCTTTCAAATCAGTCAATTATTATTATTTTTTTGTTTCTCTTATATACAATTTGTTTTGGTTTATTTTGATTAAAATGGCTATTTTTAAATTTGTTACAACTCAGTCTAAGATAGTGATGTTAGTATATGTTCAAACTGGTTTTTGAAGAGATTGTAGGCAGATTTATTATTTCCTTGACCTCAATTTAAGATTGGTCTAAAAGAAATGTCTTTTTATATTTCAAGTTTTGTATTACGATTAAGTATGTTTATTGTTTTACTCCTTACTAATGTAAGCTTTATTTCTTTTTCAGGATGTTCGTTTAGGAGAAAACAACATTAATTTTCCTGGAGAGAGAGCCCTATTAATTTAAGATTCTTTTATTTCCATTGTGATGAGAGATAATATTTTACAGTTTGTTAAAATGAATCCAGTCAAGCACTACTAATAAAGGCTTTTTCAAAGGGATCATTGTGGTTTCATTTTTGAAAAACAAAAACTTTTATAAAAATATTTATTTACTTACAACAAACTTCATTGCACAATATTCCTCAAAATATCACATAGGAAGTCCTTATTTTAAATAAGATAACTAGCTGTCTGATAAAGTTAATATGATACTTTTTCTTGATTATCTTATTCATACAATACACTTCAAAGTAAAACAAAAAAATATGTCATTAGACAAACAATAACAAATTAATTTAATTAAATAATTGTAATAATAACAATGTAACTATTAACTTTCATTATAAATTCGTAATTATTAGAAAATTGTCTAGAATGTATGATCTTAAATATTTAATAATCAAAATATTTATTGTTCTTGATATTTTGTGCTTCGGGCTGTTCCAAACTTTTTTCTGCATTCGCAATATCTTGCTTGATTGCGTTAATAAGATCATCTAAAGAGTTAAAGTTCTTTTCTCCTCTTAGATATCCCACCAGAGCTATTTTCAATTGTGATCCATAGAAGTCTTTGTCAAATTTGTGCATAATGTGAGTTTCCTGGAACAAAATAATTATTTTTATAAAATAATTACTACATAGTTACATTGTATTACTTTCAACACAATTTTAGGATGCTCACTGCCCAAAAGAAAGGACTTGTTTTTCCAATGTTATGTGAATTCCACTTAAAATAGATTCATTCCAGACTATGATGTAGTGCTGGGAATTTTTGTTTGGCAGTGATGTACATTACCACGGTACCTCGTTATCGGTTGTACGAAACGACCGCACTACCAACCATATTATGGTTAACCAATGATGTGTCAACACATTGCGAACAACAGATTGAGGAAAACAGACTGGATTTTTTGCCTATACGAGTATAGGATCCAAAACCCAGAACATCAATTTCGGGACGACATAGAGTCGTTCCGTGAGGAAATCGAACCCGTGACACCTTGCACGGCAGCCAGTTGCCTTCGTTTTATTGTTTTCGTGCTGACTGTTAAAATCGTGATATTGTTTCGTGACTGACTTGAAGTAAAGTAAATAAATCAGTTGCTTAGTATTACTATACTAGCCAGCTCTTAACATCAATAAAATAATTTGAAAGCATATTAAAAAAAAAAATGCTTCATATAAATATTCCCCGAAAGACTGGGCCGATCCGAGCCCTATGGCGCGCCTCTCGATGAATTGTCAATGACGTCAGACACAAAAGAGGCCTCGTAAAACTATCATTGTAAGAGTAAACAATGACAACCATTGATTTATTACTGGTTTCTAACTAGTGGGGTGGTTTATCGTCCTTACCCTTAAGGAGAAAGGTGTGCCTGGGAAGTATGTGCACAAGTCCGGTCTGCAGCGGGCACCACTAGCTAGTTCAATGTGGCTGTCGGTTTACACCAAGGGTCGGCTCTCAGCCCTTACCTCTTCCTGATAATAATGGACGCTCTGACGTCGGACATTCAGGAAGAGGCTCCCTGGTGTATGCTGTTTGCCGATGATATTGTGCTGGTTGCCGAGAGTGCCCTAGAGGTCCAGAGCAGATTGGAGGTGTGGTGGCAAAGACTGGAGAGTGTTGGCCTAAAATTGAGCAGAACTAAAACAGAGTACCTGTTCTGCGATTTTGGCGGTCTCTCTAGTCCTGTGCCCATAGCTCTCGCCGGAACGCCCATACCAACCTGTTCCGATTTTCGGTACCTTGGGTCGGTTATCCAAGGGAATGGTGATATAGACCGAGACGTGGCACATCGGATCAACTCAGGATGGATGAAATGGCGACAGGTCACTGTAACAACTTGCGACCCACGGATGCCCCTCAGGTTCAACCTCAGGGGCATCCGTGGGTCGCGTCGTGGGTAAAATCTACAAGTCAGTGATAAGGCCTGTCCTACTGTATGGGTCAGAATGTTGGGCTCTGAAAAAGACGGATGAAAAGCGATTGCATGTAGCAGAGATGAGAATGTTGACATGGATGTGTGATGTGACGAGAATGAATAAAGTGAGAAATGAGTATATTAGAGGAAGTTCAAAGTGGCGCCAGTGACTGAAAAGTTGAAAGGGAATCGTTTGTTTTGGTACGGCCATTTGAAAAAAGGGATGAAACGCATGTTACAAAAAAAGCCATGATATAGATGTGGATGGATGGAGAGGGAGAGGGAGACCAAAGAAAAGATGGATAGATTGTGTGAGAAATTATATGGAAGACGGATTAGTTAGTGATAGCGTGACGGGTGACAGGACAGAACGGAAGTAAAAAACATATTGCGCCGACCCCAAATAAAACGGGACAAGGGCAGGAAGATGATGGGGTGGTTTATCGTCAGTAAGTTTGACACTTCCACTTGCACTCAGGGCGAGAGAAGTCGGTAGATGATCACCCCCCCCACGGCCCCCACCCCGCTCCTCAAATAAAGGGGCAAGAATTTCAATACAATTGAAATGTGTGCAGCGGCTCCACTGCAACTGGGGCCCATAGGACAGCAGTTTCAATACACGGTTTTGCACCCAAAATGTGTTTTCAGTTATCAATATTGCTAGGTATAAGCCATAGCATAGTCAAATAAGTTAAGACAAAGTATAACGACCTTATAGTGTTAGTTAAGTAAAAACAATAGGATGGTACCAACATACCCACTCACCTAAATAGTATGCAAATATTAACGACATTATTAGTTAGTACATAAGTAGACAATGATTCGATATAATCAGACTATGCAAACAATATTGACTAACGTTAGTGAAGTTGCTATTCGAGATAACAAGTTCCAGTTTTGAAAGTACAAATAACTAAGTATTTGTTTAGTTTAAATTGCTTGCGTTGGCACTTAAATATATCCGTACGTTCTTGTTTTATCCAAGCAGGTATAAGCAGGCACCGCGGCCTCGGCCTAGGGCAGAAGGAACGAAGGGGTTTTTAGTCAGTAAGAATCTGACATTTTCCTGCCCCACCCTAGGCTGGATTTGATGATTTTCCCTTCAAAAAACAATCCTACATTAAAATCTCACCCAAACGCGAACTCTTCAACAGGCGTTATTTTTGCATCTTTGAACTGCATGGTTGGCGCGGTGGCTAGACAACTGGCTGTCGCGCAACGTATCGCGGGTTCGATTCCCGCACGGAACAATTGTTTGTGTGATCCACAAATTACTGTTCCGGGCTTGGGTGTGATATGTATGTTTGTTAAAGCCCCTACGACGCAGGAGAAAATCCTCGTATGGGGCAGTTTTAATATTTAAAAGAAAATAATCTGTTCCATTCTATCTAGCGTGATGATTAAATTCACATAATTCAATTTAAAATGATTCTACTCATGCTCAAATATTAGTAACAAATAGCATTTGAAAAGTTACGCCAAGCGAAACTAGCAAGGTCGGGATGTGAACAACCGCCGTCTTATAATTTAGTAGGTACCTATTAACTAATTGTGTTCCAAACATACGTCTAAAATGAGTATCTACACTGATACTGATATTAATATTTTGAATCAAGAACTGATAAGATTTAGTATACATTACCACATAACGATAAGAAAAGTTACCTATGATAAAGTATGGTTCTTCACAGTGATTAACCTTAGTTGTATGTTGCCTAATAAATTAAACCTTTTCTTTATCAAACACTGTTGACTAGTATGACTGTGTATTCTGCAGTCCATTTTATATTGCTTGTATGTTTGTATTCGGGCGAGCGACATTGCACCCTCTGTAGATATGTATGATGATGAATACCTAATGCACCACTTTCCTTAATCATGGTCTCTCTGGTTGAGTATACAAATACTTATAAGACATGTATAAGAAATACTTATAAGACTCCTGCAATGGTATTGTTCCGTATAAATACTATAGTTACTGTAATATAATGTTGTAACATCTTATGATTAGTCATGATCAAAGATAATATTGTAGGATTAATAAGTATTGCAACATAGAATATACCTAGCTAATCTCAAAGTTGTGCAAGACAAGCCAACTCCACAATGATAAAAGCAATATTAAATAAATTACTCATTACTTCAATTACTATTGTAAGTGTGCATCATCTCTATCTGTATATCATTTTATCTTTACACTACAAGGCTAACAGAATTTGTCTTGTACTACCTGAATGGGTAATTAAGTTTGAATAAATAATAAACATCTGTTGATAACAGATGTGTAAATGTTTTCTTAATTAGCTTTAGTAATATCTACTTAATTAACATACTTCATTATCATTATATCAAGGATGTCATACATAATTATGTTGAATTTTCTAAAAATTTAAAAATAAAGTAAAATTACATCTTACCACAGACATTTGCTTGTTTTGGTAAAAAGGACACCAGCCGATATTTGCCACCATTTTATAGATATCACCTTTGTCTACCTGTGCCCATCCATAATATACTCCTGGCTCAAGATCTTTGGGTAAAGACTGTACCACTTCCAAAGGATAGTTTGCTGTAAAGAAAAAACTTTTAAAGTAATCATAATTAAACAAAAAGATCTAATTCAAATAATTCTAACTTATTTTTCATTTTAGTTTACATTAAAAATATTTTTTTGAAGCCTTGAAGCAGAAAAACATGACTGACAAGGCATGTTAATTTAATTATTGATATTTTATAATTACTAAATGTTTATCTATGAGGTGCAGTCTTAAAACTAGTCAAAAATGTTTCATTAAAATCAATTGGTTTTTTTGTAACGAAAAAAGTTTGTAACAAATATGTCTATTTAAAAATAACTAACTAGAACTAAATATTTGAAACTAAAGTCTGGCGTATGTACCTACTTTACTTTCAAATATTTAGTTCTTGTTTAGGGGAATAAAAGTTTAGTCAGGTTCATTAATATTCTACCTGTACTTAAACTTCTTCAAGGTAATTTTATGAACATATATTTTTTGTTTTACATACCTGTAGGGCACCCGAGATCCTTAGATCCTCTTCCGAAACCTTTAGTTACCTCACCTTCCAGGAATAGTGGTAAATGTTTTGTTGACATGCTTATTTTCTTTAGCTCTTTCAGAAACTTCAGTTTTAAAAATTAACATCCAACTTTCTGACCTTAGTATTTATTAAATATTGTTATTTAATTACTGTGTCCAATTTAACTTTGCGTAAAGTAAAATAATACTAATGTTATATTATTACTTTACTACTTTGGGTACTTTATTGTAGTACTTGTGAAATTACGTCAAGAATATAATGTCTCTGAACACGACACTCGTATCAAATGGCTTAAATTGAACTGAACGTTGAGTTGTAATAAAATAAAGTTGTAAAATAAATGATACAGACGAGCTAATAATGTAAACTGACGTATCGACGAAAATTGTAAAAAATTATGCGATGTTCAGACTGAAGTGTCAAGCAATCCTGTGACGTTGACGTAATTGACATAGATGCACACGAAATCTTTCACATTCTGACATTTACCTTTTCTCCTCTTCAAAACATACTAAAGTACTAGCTGCATCTGGATATAACAAAATAAAATGAACATACTGTAAGTGTCTGCTAATGTTTCCTTTATAATTTAGTATAAAACTACAGTCTCTCTAATCGATTTTGTATGTTCGATACAAAATCGATAAAAAATTTAGGCGATTTTTTAAAATGTTCAACGAGCTGTATTTGTCACAAAAATTAAAAAAAAACACTACTATTGATAGGTATACAATCCAAGACAAGACAAGTTTTATTTCTGTTTTTATATTCGATTTTACTATCAGCATACATGTAGCCAGGGCGAACATATTCTTATGCTTATTAATTTATTAGAAAATAATATAAAAATGAGTTAAATTAAGTGAACATGTTTTAATTCATATCGGATGTTGAGTGTTGACAATAGCAAGAGTTACGAATTTACCTTGTACGTTTTATGTTAGTTGGAACGATATAAATTGGTATTTTTGTTAATACAATGACCGAGAAGGGCTACGATGGCGACCAGCTGTCGCCATCCTGGGACATCGCTGGTCCTTCGTCCCTGGCAGCCATCCTGGATACTATGTTTACATCTACAACTTCTGACAATCACCAGAGAAATGGTAAATACGTATGATTGTTACACAGTTTATCTTTTGCTACATCTAGTTTTATTTTGTTTAATAACGTTAGAAATGTATTTGTCCCCATGCGAAGAGCATATTGGCCTCACATCCTGTTAGTGCTATTTTTGTAAAAGATTATGAAAGTGAACAATTATTTAAAATGTGAGTTGTTATCATCATCATGCATAATGTACATAATCAAATACAAAAACTATATCCAATAACAAAAAGGGTCTATTGAAAATACATTGTATTTTAAAATACCATGTTTACACCACATTAGGCTATTTCACAGAGAATATGCATTGTGTTGTTTTATTATATACCATATGTATTATATAAATGATGAACAACATATTTATAAATGGATTTACCTGGTCTATATGTTTCTAATAACTGGAATTCTGTTACTCTTTAAGTTTTATGGTGAATTAAATGGTTTATGGATGTGTAATTAAATATTTTTTAGGTCTTGAAAAGACTGATTATAATACAAATTGAAAGGATTTTGAGATTTGTTTTTTATCCATCTTTTACTCAATAAGAGTCTGCACTCAGTCATTTGACTGAGTGCAGACTCCTTGAGTGGCAAAATTTATGCTGATCTAACACACATCTTTGCTGTATTATATAGCGGCAGAGGAAAGGCTAATCAGTCAACTGATTGTCAATATAACAATAAAGACCATCAGTTGACTTATAACAATATGGACAATCTGTTGACTTTATAATATATATTATAAGGCAGACAGACATAAAACACATAGAGGGAGTAACTCACTTACCAAATTCCTGATTAGAGCAGGCAGGTGTGTCTCGGGTGATGAAATCTTCTGAACTGTAATTTCATAAAAATCATCATTTAACTTTGTCAAAACAAAAATATATATTATATTGAAGCTAAGCTAAGTATTTATGTATGCAAAAGGCTTTCATTAATGTTTATTTTAGTCTACATGTAAAGGGTCAATGTTTCCATGATGGTTTGCTGACTTTTTCTTTTAAAAAACCAGTCTGTTTTATAAACATCTCAAATGTAAAGGACTTATAAAATAATACATACTCTTCATAGCATATAGGATGGGAAACACTTTAGCAACTACAATAAAAATATCACCAAACATTTAATTCAACTACCTACTATTTAATTAAATACTAATAATTGTTAAAAAAAAACAATTCTACATACCTTTGCTTGTAGTCAAATCTCAATTGTTATGTTTAAAACTTTTGTCTTTATTATTGCTCTATTCATTAATTATTTATCAACATTTTAGCTAGGATGGGTAACTACAATGTGTTTAGTTTTGCCTCTATAAGCTATTATAGGATTTTTCTTCTCTACAGCAATACATTGGAATTTGAACCCTACTTCCACTCTTTGTTATTGTATACATATTGTAAAATATTTAATTACTACTTATTTATTATTCAAAGATCAATCTTAACAATGGGCTTAATCAACTCAGATGGTAACAATATATGGGGTCTATTCCTCTACTTATTAAATTTACTTATATTACTCTATTTGGTTTCAGAACAAATGGAGTGTGATGCTCTATTTGCAGAAAGTGATGATGAAGTAGAGGTGCTCCCAACAACATCTGAACAAAGTGAAAACTCGGCCGGATCAGAAATAACTTCAGCTGAAACACCTAAACCGGTTTCATCTAATTATGTGAACTCCACCACTCCCAATCAACCATATGAAGTTAATCTATCTTCGCTATCACATCCTGCAGACTCGCACACTCCTGTCCCTGAAGAGTACCAACCCTTACCCGACAGCTCTAGCTCACTTGACTACTCCTTTGGTAATAATGCAGACAGTACTGACAGTAATGGCCAAAGAAGACTCCCCGACGTAAATATTCGCTACCAGCCAAAACCTCATTCACTTAACCAGCAAAGTTATTATTTTCCAAACTATGCACATTATCCGGGCATTCAACAACGGGAGTATGGGGTGCCATACCATAACAACGTCATAGTACTCAGTGATGGTAGAAACTTCTTACCACCTCCTTTGCCATTTGCGAATGGTATGCCCATGCCTGAAAACCTTTCAGAATATGATTTTTTAAACCGAATTTCAAATGCCTATAATCAAAGATCTGCGCAAGGGGATAGTGGAAATCCATCGAGTGGCTTAGAACGTCCTAGTCGCAAGCTCAACATCTCTCCTCGTAGACGCCACTCGAAAGAGAATGAAGTACCAAATCTAATAGAAGTAAGTTCAGAAGAAGAAGACAATGTGTCTACACCAAGAAAGCGACAACGTGATAATTCGGCCTTCAACCAGTATGCGAGTACACATGGGAGTAGTGCAGGGAATGGAAGTAGCAGTCAGACTGCAGATAAACCTAGAGTGGAGGTTAAGGGTGAACCTTGTAACCCAATTAGACAGGCGAGTGTAACTATACGAAACGCAACAAATCTTTTACTGCAGACTATAGAACGACAGCAAAATAGTCAGAACAACAACATGCAACCACAAAATATGTCTACAGTGAAGACGCAAATTAAACAAGAAAATACAGGGTGTGGATCTCGTAATGATTGTGCGTGTACAGTGAATTTACAAAGTAACTCACAGCCAAGTCAAAATCACAGTGACAATTGTCACAGTCCAAATCACAATAGGCAAAATGGATCTCAATCAAGCAGGACGAATAAACCGAGTTCTAGTGGCGAAACGTCGGCGTCGGGACTGTTTGTGAAAGTGAAGGAAGAACCTGGTACGCAGCAGCCAGTTGTCAAACAGGAGCCAATGAAAGAGGAGAATATGCCGTCAGTGAGTGTTATTAAAACAGAAGCAACAGAGCCAGTCCAAGTAAAAACGGAACCAGGCACATCGAGTAATGTTCCTGCCACTGAAAACGTGGAGGTGAAAACGGAACCTGACAATGCTAGGCATTGTTGCAAAGCGGACGGTAGTAGCGACCGCCGGCCACAGGAATCATCACCCCAGCCTGGACCCAGTTCAGGAAGGCAGACTGATAACAGACCTACAAATAATCAGGTACATTTATCTAATTTCGAAACCTAAATAAGCATATTAAAAAAATGTATATACTTTTTTATGATGCTATATTTACCTAAACGATGAGTCGGGTGCCATCACTACTTTTTCTTTCATACATCATATTCCGTTGTCTGTTACTTCGTTAGTGATGGCGTCACGTTTCGTTCCGTCAATAGATCTGAGTTTTTTAATTTTCGTAGGGTACTTGAATTTTATTCTTAATAGAACATAATATATTATGTACTTGTCAAATTATTGGTGGGAATGTATTTTTGGCTATAAAGAACAAATAATTATTTTTATCCATTTCTAAATCACATACATTCCGCTTATTGTTCATTTTAACAATTTGGCGTTGTTTCTGTGTGTAACAGGAACAATGTCAAATTACTACAGGGGTGTTATTACAGGAGTCACAAGAGACCGAATCGTCGGCGAATGGCAACGTGTTGTCGGCTCCGGATCTACAACTGGATTGGGTCTCAGATTCTAGCTCCGACGACGGTGTTATGTTAGTAGGAGATGACTCAAATGCTGTAAGTATATTTTTTTCTTATGTTTATTTACGAGTGTGAGTGAGTCTGCAGTGTCCTTGCCCTGGAGCTACTGCGCCGTATACTTCATCTCTCTCGGTAAGTAAGGCGAATAGGACCGACAAGTAAGATCTCGTGGTGTTTCACAAGGATCTATCTTGGGGCCGCTTCTGTAGAACATCGGTTACGATTGGATATTATACTACGCAGCGACCTCCCGAATGGCGTCCGCATTTGTTTCGTTTAGTTTCTAAATTGGAACGAATAGAAGCAGTGCTTAAGCGAGCCAAGCTAATTTTTTTCCTAACCTCCACTGACGCGCCAGTTAAATGCGCGGTGGAATGATGTACGGTCTCACGGTGGACTAGACTTTCTTTAATCCTGCAGAAACTTCAATTTATTCAGTGATTCCCCTTTTCCCATCATGTTTTAAGTTTCCGATGTTACGACATACGTAATTTGTAATACACTTAATTATGTTTTATGTTTACAGCAACAAGAGGTAATAGACTTAACGGGTTCGCCTGGGCGAGCTAACTACACGCAGGGCGAGCAAAACTTCGAGCGGGCGCCAGGCGAACCGGCGTCAGGCGTCTGGACAGCCACCGCGCGACCACTACTGGGGGTGTCGCGTCGCAGTAACTACCCGCTACATCTCAACGAACTTCCTCCACATGCACACCTTGTGCGGACTAGGTAATGCAATATAATGGAATATTTTTTAGTTCAAATAGTGCTTGTCAGTAGAACTTGCGGATGCAAGGTCAATAAAGTTTCGCGGCCGCGCCTTACAGCAGGAAAAGAGAAATAGATAGAGTACGCAGTAACGAGTATGTAACGTCGACTTATAGAGTGCGAGTGGGTGCGTGCGGAGGCTGCCGGCGGTGTTGCTGCGGACACGCGGGCTGCGCCTGCTGCGGCGCCCCACCACACCCGCCGCACCACGCGCACCAGCCGCCCCGCGCACACCCCACGCAGCACCACCACCACGCCCCGCCCGCACACAGTGAGTACACACACACACACACCCGCCGCACCACGCGCACCAGCCGCCCCGCGCACACCCCACGCAGCACCACCACCACGCCCCGCCCGCACACAGTGAGTACACACACACACACACCCGCCGCACCACGCGCACCAGCCGCCCCGCGCACACCCCACGCAGCACCACCACCACGCCCCGCCCGCACACAGTGAGTACACACACACACACACACCCGCCGCACCACGCGCACCAGCCGCCCCGCGCACACCCCACGCAGCACCACCACCACGCCCCGCCCGCACACAGTGAGTACACACACACACACACCCGCCGCACCACGCGCACCAGCCGCCCCGCGCACACCCCACGCAGCACCACCACCACGCCCCGCCCGCACACAGTGAGTACACACACACACACACCCGCCGCACCACGCGCACCAGCCGCCCCGCGCACACCCCACGCAGCACCACCACCACGCCCCGCCCGCACACAGTGAGTACACACACACACACACACACCCGCCGCACCACGCGCACCAGCCGCCCCGCGCACACCCCACGCAGCACCACCACCACGCCCCGCCCGCACACAGTGAGTACACACACACACGCACACACCCGCCGCACCACGCGCACCAGCCGCCCCGCGCACACCCCACGCAGCACCACCACCACGCCCCGCCCGCACACAGTGAGTACACACACACACACACACCCGCCGCACCACGCGCACCAGCCGCCCCGCGCACACCCCACGCAGCACCACCACCACGCCCCGCCCGCACACAGTGAGTACACACACACACACACACCCGCCGCACCACGCGCACCAGCCGCCCCGCGCACACCCCACGCAGCACCACCACCACGCCCCGCCCGCACACAGTGAGTACACACACACACACACACCCGCCGCACCACGCGCACCAGCCGCCCCGCGCACACCCCACGCAGCACCACCACCACGCCCCGCCCGCACACAGTGAGTACACACACACACACACCCGCCGCACCACGCGCACCAGCCGCCCCGCGCACACCCCACGCAGCACCACCACCACGCCCCGCCCGCACACAGTGAGTACACACACACACACACCCGCCGCACCACGCGCACCAGCCGCCCCGCGCACACCCCACGCAGCACCACCACCACGCCCCGCCCGCACACAGTGAGTACACACACACACACACACCCGCCGCACCACGCGCACCAGCCGCCCCGCGCACACCCCACGCAGCACCACCACCACGCCCCGCCCGCACACAGTGAGTACACACACACACACACACCCGCCGCACCACGCGCACCAGCCGCCCCGCGCACACCCCACGCAGCACCACCACCACGCCCCGCCCGCACACAGTGAGTACACACACACACACACACCCGCCGCACCACGCGCACCAGCCGCCCCGCGCACACCCCACGCAGCACCACCACCACGCCCCGCCCGCACACAGTGAGTACACACACACACACACACCCGCCGCACCACGCGCACCAGCCGCCCCGCGCACACCCCACGCAGCACCACCACCACGCCCCGCCCGCACACAGTGAGTACACACACACACACACCCGCCGCACCACGCGCACCAGCCGCCCCGCGCACACCCCACGCAGCACCACCACCACGCCCCGCCCGCACACAGTGAGTACACACACACACACACCCGCCGCACCACGCGCACCAGCCGCCCCGCGCACACCCCACGCAGCACCACCACCACGCCCCGCCCGCACACAGTGAGTACACACACACACACACACCCGCCGCACCACGCGCACCAGCCGCCCCGCGCACACCCCACGCAGCACCACCACCACGCCCCGCCCGCACACAGTGAGTACACACACACACACACACCCGCCGCACCACGCGCACCAGCCGCCCCGCGCACACCCCACGCAGCACCACCACCACGCCCCGCCCGCACACAGTGAGTACACACACACACACACACCCGCCGCACCACGCGCACCAGCCGCCCCGCGCACACCCCACGCAGCACCACCACCACGCCCCGCCCGCACACAGTGAGTACACACACACACACACACCCGCCGCACCACGCGCACCAGCCGCCCCGCGCACACCCCACGCAGCACCACCACCACGCCCCGCCCGCACACAGTGAGTACACACACACACACACACCCGCCGCACCACGCGCACCAGCCGCCCCGCGCACACCCCACGCAGCACCACCACCACGCCCCGCCCGCACACAGTGAGTACACACACACACACACACCCGCCGCACCACGCGCACCAGCCGCCCCGCGCACACCCCACGCAGCACCACCACCACGCCCCGCCCGCACACAGTGAGTACACACACACACACACCCGCCGCACCACGCGCACCAGCCGCCCCGCGCACACCCCACGCAGCACCACCACCACGCCCCGCCCGCACAAAGTGAGTACACACACACACACACGATCTCTTTTTCCCTTTCTCTCAAACACACAATCCACTACGGCAACACTCTAACACAAAGCTTGTGCGTACATAGTACATACCCACACTCACAGTACATACACAAAATGAAAACAAATAAATTAAATCTTTTTTCTATTTCTATTCTTTATATTGTGTAGTGGGGGAGCGTCGTCGAGATGGCCTGTCTGTAGTTCCGCCTTACCCCGTCCATGAGCGACTCTGGCAGCGACAACATCACATGATGGTAAGTGTTGACGGGCCTATCAGTACCTTAATTCTTGTAAAATATAGGATTTCAAGAAGCGTGAGACAAAATATCAACTAGTCTGATACTCTCTATTGAATCAATAAATACACGACGTGGTGTGAGTAGTGGTCCAAATTAAATGAACCAAAATTTATGTTTTACTCTGTGACCTCTAGTTCTCATGAGACAAAATATAAGTATGTTAGGTATATAGGTACGAATACCTATTATATTAACTTTTCATATCTGTACTCCTATGTACGACACTATTTTGATATGTAGAATGCATCAAAATTCTTATAAATTAGGTAAAAATACAATTTATTCCAAAATTGCATAAATTAATTAAGGTATGTTAACGTAACACGGATACGTATGTGGAGAGTTTGTTTGTTTGTTTGAATGCTCTAATCTCCATTACTACTGGTTCGAATTAAATTATTATATTTGTGTTTGAAAGACACTGGTTGCAAACTGACACTTGCGTGCCTGTCTTCAGAACGGGTCCACTTAAACTGGTGTGGTTCTTATCTCAAAAGACCACTACAGAATGAACTTGCACGGTTCTCTCACATTATGTTATTTTTACATTGTTTGGACTTGAAAAGAGACTGATCTCTGAGTTTGTTTCGGCATTTCTTCTCAGAGTAGTCAGATAAGAAATGCCGGCTTCATCTAGTTTTTCACATATAAATTGACGTGTCAAAGAGCCGTTTTATGGCCTATTTGCAAAAATAAATTCATTGTTTCATTGTATAAAACATTGCGCTACGATTTGTAGAAGCCAAGCAGCGGGTGAAACCGCGCGACGGAAGCTAGTATTTATTTAATTATGTGTATTTTTCCAGGAGTTGCAACGACGCAGCATGATGGGCGATGGATTTGGCCCCGGCTTCGCTCAGTTCCCGCCCGTGCCGCTCCCGCCAACCACAGTGCTCGCTGTATATTCTTGTTTTATTTTTTGTTTCATTTACTTTTTGGAAAATATTATTAGCTTTTTAGTCTATTACGATTCTTCTATATAATCTTTTCCCCCTTATAGCAAAATAAGAGTTAACTTTAGACCAGAGGGCCTACCAGGGCGAGAAAGAGGGATGGAGCTAGACACCTTTTAAGATTGACGCTTTAAAACGTCATGGTAGGCCTACAGGTTTAAACCATTGAGTGAGGTTTTGAACTTTGAATCTTATTTTCACCTACCTTCAATTCGAAATCCAAAACATGACTCAATGCTTTAGACTAAAGAAAAACCTCGATTTGTTATAAGGCCGTTTGTCTATAAATCTTATAGAATAGAGAACAAAAGAGGAACTCGAACTAATGCCGAATGTCTAGAAGTTTGATTTGACTAGCTTTTATTTAACTTGTCTGATTACAGTTCCCGGACGAATTGGAACGTGATATACCGATACCGCCTCCGCCGCCACCTCCAATGATGCTGTAAGTACTTACAAATTCAAATATTGTTGAATTGACTTACCGATATGTTCAATTATCAGGATCTAACATACCTACCTATATGTCTACCTACAGAAATTATGTCTGTTACTTGCCTTATTGATATTTTGGTTGTGAACACAGTGACCTTGTATTTACATGGTCGCTTTGAGACGAATTGTCAACGAATTGTTGTCGTTTAAGCCGGTGTAAAGTTGTGCCTAAATATCGATATACTCGTACCTACTGTCTGTAATATCCTGTTGACCATAAACCGCGCGGCGAGAACAAGTGTATTCGCTTCTAGGCGGCGGCGACTGACGAGCCGGGTGATTGCAGCCATTCGCGGGCAAAGACCCGTCACTACGTCGAGGTATCACCTTTATACTGTCGTAGGCGAAGTGTAGATTACCAATTTACTCTGTTCAATGTTACAATCGCTTCGCCTTACAACTAACTACTCAACGATCGTACAGTCAGCATTCCGTTTGCGAGAACATTTTCGATGTAATTATCACAAGTATTTGTCTGCTACACATTGGATTCTTCATTTTATAAGTGAATTTTACGACTGCCACTGTATCTAGAACATGTCTCATGGAATGTGTATTTTTTTCAGTGACAGGCAACATATCCACCACCATATGCATCATTATATGCAGATGCACCCTTCGCCGCCCCATCTCCACATATCCATCCAGCCTTCTTTCATGGTGAGATATACCTATTCTATAGGATGACATTAGATTAAATAAAGGACAGCTTAGAACGTGATGGCTCTCATAATATCAATTAACTTTCCCAAAGAAAGTTGAGTTCTAAACGTAACTTTCTTTGAGATATTTTTCAGTAAGTAGCAATTTCAACAAAACCATTACAAGAGTTCTTTGTGTGTGACAGAACATTTTGTTTGTTAGAGACGAAAACCGCTTTCACGTAAAAATGTTACGAATATGTTGCGTTTTCACACAAAATTCATAAAAGAGTAAAGTTTTGACATTTCAATAAAAGTATTGAATTTTACTAAATGGATTGGAAACTATACCGGATTCTATTTAGCCCCTTTCCAAACCCATAAATTTGATGTTGACTGTAAACATACTAAGCTGTACACTACTAATAAATTGTCACCCTATATACTATTAGCTGGGGTTGTGGGGATAAGCACAATGAGGCACCGCTGCCTCGGCTTAGGGCAAGAGAAGGAACGGGGCTTTTTAGTCAGTAAGAAGAAGTCATTTAATGATTTTCCCCGGACAGAAAAAAAATACCCTATATACTATTATCTCATATCTGAGTTTTAACAGTGTCAACGCTTTTAATTGTGGGTGTGGTGTTCGGGTACTAATTGTGTATTGTGTTAGGGGACGGCGACTATGGCGGCGATGGTGTACGCGGCGGAGGCGGAGGAGGCGGAGAGTCGAGCGTGGCGCGGCCGAGGGGCCTCGAGCGCAGTCATCGAGAGCAATACCTACCGTCACGCATACAGGCCGGCGCCCAGCCACCAGGACGAGAAATGTACGATCTGCCTCTCCATATTCGAGGTGGACTCGGATTGCAGGTAATTAAAATGAATCTACACTTACTAATACCATAAAGCTGATGAGTTTGTTTGTTTGAAGGCGCTAATCTTCGGAACAGCTGGTTCGAATTGAACAAATCTTTTTGTGTTTGTTAGTCTTTTTATCGAGGAAGGCTATAGGCTATAAAACATCACGCTTTGATCTGTAGGAGCTCAGTACTGGGTGATAACGCGTAAGAGTAGCTAGTAACTAATAATAATTACATGTGTACTTTTTAAAAATATAATTTTAACTTTAAATTTACCTATATGGAAACTGTTTCTAAATAAATCTTGTATTATTCCAGGCGTTTACCATGCATGCACCTTTTCCATATGGAATGTGTGGACCAATGGTTGAGTACCAATAAACATTGCCCCATCTGCCGGGTGGATATTGAGACTCACCTCAATAAAGACGCCACTTTTTAAACTACAAGGTAAGACTTATATTTTATTCAATTCCTTGTATAATATATAAGATCCTACATAGTAAGCCTGAAACTCATGGGAATCCTCATTTGTTTATTACATAATTCCTTAGTCCTTTACCTAATGATGATGGTATGCATAATTACAAAATGTGTATGGTTAACGAATACTGCCAAACTGCGCACGCAGGAGCCTACTTTTTGTACCATATTTATGATGCCCAATAGAATCTTAGTTAGTTGATGATTAATTATAATTAATGAATGTACTAATTTTTTACTGCACGGTTGGCGCGGTGACTGGGAAACGTGTCGCGGGTCCGATTCCCGCACAAAACAACACCTTGTGTTATCCACAAATTATTGTTTCGAGTCTGGGTGTCATGTGTATGTGAAATTGTATGTTTGTGAACGCAATCACGACACAGGAGATAAATCCCAGTGTGGGGCAATGTTTTAATAAAAATAAATGAACACCGCGAATTAGCATCCCATTCAAACTTAGTTGAGATTCCTGCGACTGTGAATACTGCGAGTGTAAGGTGCCTGCTACTATGGGATCTTACAAAATAAAACATGTGCTTCACAAGTTTCATATTTTTATGTAGAAATTTAATTTAATAATTAAACTACCTACTTAACATTTTGCTAGATGGTTTGCTATAGTAATTTCTTTTCTTATTCCATCAACATATTACCTTATAGACACCATATTGACAGCAGTGCCTATCCAACAACACAAATCTTTTGTCAATCTGTGTGTGTGACACACCAAATACAATTTAATTTAGTATGATTTTTCCTGTTTTTGTTTGGTTTTTACTTGATATTCAATAAATTTTAATACTTTTTATGAGAAAGTAATAAAGTGAAAAAAAAAATGTGACAGAATTTTTTTGGTCCCATTCCTTACTTACGTCTGTCACTAGATCATGTTTACATCTCCATTTAACCTTTTTTTTGCCATAGAAATGAGGCAATGAGGTGTCTATAAGGTAAATTATTTAATAAATAATTTAACTACAATTTAAATAGCAAATCATGCATGTAACCTAAATTATGTATAGAATTTATACATTTCAAAAATTACTAACTAAATAAAATGGATGCAAACTGTAACTGCATCAAATTTTTTATTTAGTATATAAAGCAAGCCTTTTGTTTTTTTGTTTGGTTTCTGTCCAAGACTTATCTTGACCTTATACATTAGTTATAAACTACTCACATTAAAATTAAGTCTTTAATTTGCTTTTTACACTTGTAACTTCATGTTTCAACTTCTCCTCCAGCTGGGGGGCACTGAGGATAGCCTGTTGCTGCAGTTCCAGACTTTCCTGCTGCAGTTCATGCGTCAGCTGTTTCTGCATGTTGCAAGACCTGTAACATATACACTACTGCCACTATTATGTATATACACTGAATATCAATTAAGGATAAGAGTATTTTTTGTTTTATAAAGATTTGTTACTTTATCATTATTACAAAGTTAGAAGTCAAAAGAGGTGACTATTGTTGTTTTACATATTAATGTGCATATTATGAAGTATCAAATATATTAAATTAAAATAATAATTAATGCAATCTGTTATTTTAAAGCACTAAAAATGAAAAATTTGTAAAATATCTCATAAAAACATAACTTGCTTTAATAAACTCATTTTTTTTTCTATTTACTTTCTTTTTTTTACCTGCATGCATGGTCTATTCTTTCACAAATGGCATCTGAAGCGACAATATTTCCTGATAAGTATGATATCTCTGCAGCTACTGTTGCTAATTTTTCTGCATAATCCATATAACCTGCAAGTTGTAAGATTGAAATAATAAGCATTACTGTGTAATAAAAAAATATTCTAACTTGGAATATCTAAATGTAATTATTAGACTCAGAGATGAAATGTTTGTAATTGAAATACTTACTAAACAAAGTGTGGAGGTTATGCCTCAAATCAACAAGTGACCCTCTGACAGCCACTAGTTGGTCCCAATGATGAGGTGGAGTGCCATCTTCACCCCACTCTAGAGCTTGTTTCACCAAACAGATCTCCCGAACCAGTGCCTCGCGCAACCTGTGACATTTATAATTTATTTTCCTGTATGGTGTAATCAGAATGATGTACTGATGTAAGTTATGATGTTGAATGTATAAAATGTATAAATAAATTATGATTAAAAAATCCACTCATCTTTCACTTATAATAACAAACTTAATATTACTGCAAAAGTTGAAATAATTACCTTTCACTTGTGTCTTGGATAGCGACTAATGTAACAGTCAGAAGTTGAGTAGCTGCATTAACATTGATAGTCGTAGCTTGACGAATTAAAAATTCATGTTCCAGACTATCTGCATCCCACATAACTTCCAATTCTTTTTGTTTGTCATCACAATAAGCTGTGGTTAACAGACCCAAAGTTACTGGGGCATAATTTCTGATTTTTGGCACAATTCTATGGTGAACTTGGCAAGCAGTTTTCAGAAAAGCAAGTAATCGGTATCTAAACATAGTGTGTGTGGGATAGGCAAAGATAGTCGGGACAGAATTATTACAGATATTTTTTACTTCATTGTACGTTTTTGTTGGTCAGAAAAATAATATCCGACAGGAAATTGTAATTATTTAAGGTTAGATTTTCTGTTTTGGTTTTATTTTTGACAGATCAATTTTGGTTTTCGATCTGGATTTTTCTTTTTGGATGTCAAGTTGACAATCTATCATTCTGCCCATTTAGGAGTTTATGGCCTGGATACTTGTCCTTTAAGACAATCCCATGTCAATTCACTTTTTTAGTGAGTGTTCATTCGGCTGATTTTTTGTAAAGTTAAAAACCGTGAAAGAATTTACATTACTTTTAATGGTCTAAGCAAAAACTGATCACACACAAATCGAGGTCGAATTTTGATTATAATAAATTACTAAAACATTTCTTTATGCTTTGTTCCACTTGTTTTGTGTCAGAGATGAATTTCTCAAAAGTTCAAGTGTAAGGGGGAAACTCTGGTGGTTAATTTGGACGTAGCAAAGGCCTTCAATCAGATTGGGCATAAAGTGCTTCATTCGACTCGCTACTTCCTTGGTGACAGAGGTACAAAGGTCGTCGTCAACGGTGAACAATATAAATAACCGATAGATGGCACTTTGTAGTCCCATGTCTATACTAATATTATAAAGAGTTGCAATTTGTAAGTTTGTATGTGTAGGGGTAATCTTTGGAGCCGTTGGTTGGATTTCCAAAATTCTTTTACTGATATCTACAATGTCCCTGACTGCTATAGGTAAGAAAACATCACGCTACGATCTATAGGAGCGGGGCAATGAAATCCGCGCTAGTAGGTATATAATAAATTACGTACCTACTGTTACTAGTGCACTAAGCTAAAAAATGACAACAATACGTCTGAGTGCACAATCAGGTCCACATTGAGTTTGAAGAGATTAAAATGTGGTACATCGAACATAGCAAGGGAAACCAATCAAACTTAGACACGAACAAAATAAAACAAAATAACATGTTATGTACATTATATTATTACTAATAAAGTACTGTCAGTGGAAAACCTGGGAATAGTCCTTTGGTTCTTCAAGAGAAGTATTTATATTGAAGTCTAAAACTGAAACACCTCGATCTATTGCTGTAATAAGCTGGTATGGATCGAAATCTAAACTATACACGGGTGAGGCTTTCTTTTGCGTAAAAAACATCTGAAAAATAAACAAAATATAACTATTAATTTATTTCAAATTCCCTTGGTCGTGGTATCACGCATGAACAGCTAGACAGATTCTGATAGATCTTTTTATGCTGTATTTTTTAAGATCAGGACAGATTTTTTTAAAGTAGCGGTAAATGTTTTCAATGTCATAGAGGGCCGCAAGTAAATAATAAAGTACAATATATCCTGCAATTGTAGAGCCAAGTGATGTTTATTAACCTGTGTGTGATGTATTTGTTTGCGCGTATCAAACAAAACGCAACGTGAGTACTCAGCCGATCCTGCTACCACAGCGCATTGTCCATCTGATTTAACACAGTAAAACGCAGCTCTAAAGGGATCCCATGTATGATACACCTGTAGACAAAATTAAAAATTACACAATATGCAGCATATTGGACTTATTATTTTTATTCAGTGAGTATAAAATATTAAGATTCATAGACCTGATATTAATTTGCCTAAGCATAAGGAATACCAAGCACACAAAGTACAGAATTTTGATCCAACATCATATAAACACCTTCAAGAAGAGAGCATACTCCTTTTTTAAACACTTAGGTTTTTAATCAATGTTTACCAGGTGGATAATGTGATCTGTCTGTTTGTTTGTAGTTTATCCCACAAACACGCAAAAAAAGCACAAAAACTGTACCAGTTCATGAGATCTTATGTCTAACAAGTGTAGGTTCCCTGCATGTGTGACATACAATAAGGTGTTATCATTATGCCATTGGATGTCCCGCACTGCTTCTTTACGATTCTTTGTCGCATCTGCCGCCATCAATACTCTGGGACTGAAACAATATCCATATTTCTATAATACTCATATTTAAATGTGTTTTTTTATTACACTGTATGTGTAGTTCCATCACATATTCGAATTTATCTTTATCATCATAATCATCAATTTAGTGAATGTAAAAAATAATAGCAATTGTAAATTTCATTATTAATTATATTATTTTGATATACATATATTAGAATTTTAACTTTTTAGGTGTAAAGTAATGTAAATATAATGAAAACTATTATTTTAAAAGTTTCGGAAATGTATGATTGTTTAGACCAATGAATAAGAAATGTTTATAAATAAAATTTACCTACTTATTGACATCAAGCAAAATAGGCCTACTGTTGCCAGTGAGACCTATTGCTAATTTGTCTGATGTACTGTTAAGAGCCATACATTTTGTGCCAGCAGTTTCATACAGAGAGATATTAAATAAATCTGAAATTAAGAATAGAAAATCTTAGTAATAATGTAAATATAAAGTTGCCATAGTCTCTATATACTTACACAGTGATTTGGTTAATTTTTTAGTAAAACATATTTAAAAATTAAAACCCAACATCAAAATCACATTTTTCCAGGTAATTATATTATTAGATAGGTGGAATTTAATCTGGTCTGGTCTTTGATTACAATATTTAAAAAAGTATTTTACCACCTCCAAAAAGGAAAGGACAAAATAGTGTTATGTTGATAATAAATAGTCTGTGGCATAAACGATTTATACTAAAATAAAGAGTACTCACTCTTATCATTGCCTTTACAAATATAAGTAATATTATCACTTTCTTTCTTTAGGCCATAAAATTGTAAATCAGAACTATTACTAGAACCAGTAACAACAATGGTTTGATTTCTCCCATCAATTACTTCAACAGCTGATACCTCTACTGCACCCTTTTTATGACAATCCTGCACATGATACTGTAGGCATGGCCGTTTTCTTGTGTTGTTCAGTTTGTACACTGCTAAACAGCCATCTCTGAAAACAGACAACAGTAAATTTTATATCAGATTCTTATTAGATTCTTCAAAGTCATTTGAAAATACCTAAGTACCTACATTGGTTTAACTTTTCAGCTTATCAGATTATAATTAGTATTTTTTGTGTGTTTATTTAATACATAAAAAAGAGGGCATAACAAAAAAGTTAATATAACACAACCTTATTAGAAATAGTAATGTTACACATTCTACCCACTTTTTTTTTACTATGAGAATGTGGGTGAAAAATATATTTATGAAAGTTACATGGGACATACCTATTTCCACATGCAATAATATCATTTTTAATGATAAACCTGGATATATCATTGGTCCTCACATCATGCCTTGGTATTTTAGGTACTTCAACTTTCCATAGAGCTTCTCTGCAATTTGGTGTACCTTTTCTGTTTGTAGGGTAGCACTGAAGTTCAGAACCAACTGATACCAGTAGGATTTCAGAATTATGAAATGTTAGCCATGGCATGTAGTTTGTGTAATGTTTAATAACCAGCTGGAAAGCCACATAATATTATTAAAACCCCTCTGCCAGAATAATAATAACAAATAAAGTATGTAGGGTATAATATATTTGTCATAAGGTACCTTAATTCTATAATACCCATTGCACCAGTTTTGTGAAGTTCTGCAGCGATTGTACCATAAATCATTTGGCCGTCTGAAAAAAAAGAAATAGATATTTAGATACATGAACCTAAATGATAATGACACAATGATACAACTACAGCAGTCCACTTTAACTCAATGATCAGAATCGTATTTGCCTTCACTAAATCGCAGCAAGTACCTTTTATCTGAATAACCAATAATTAACTTATCTCGCGAGAGGTGTCTCCATATTGTATTATCATTTTTTATTAGATCTTTTAGAAGCTTACAAGTTAACATTACATTATGAAGATCCTTTATATTTAATAGCTTAAATATATTTACTAAGATATCAATAGGCAATTGCAAAATATTGTCAGTCGTCATTTTGCTTTTTATCTATATCATAATATTCCGATCATGATTATTTACTTTAATATTTAATTAATCTATTTATTTCTTCAATTGATCAACACATTACATTTTATCACAGATATTGTCAAAATAAAATTCAATATTGACATTTGTTTGACATTGACAATTATTTGTCAATAAAGTCATAGATTTTTTTTAGAGTTTATGGCCTGGATACAAGTTCTTTAAGCAAAGTCATAGATAAGGCGGTATACGTAGACAGTCTATTCAACTGTGTCTACGGCGGTATAAAACCAGATGATATTCTAGTTGCAGAGTCAAAAGCAGTCAGAATTGTGCATCCTGATGTTAATTAATAAATAAGTTTTAAAATATTTGTTTATCCATAGGAATTTTGTAAATTTGTTCCCTAAAAAGTAGGTAACCGACGATATTCTATTAGTCTGTTTATTTAAATATTGTTTCTAGTAACCATTAACGAATTTACATTTTGGTAAATTCATTGATTGTTACTATAGTTGCGTCTGTGCCTAACTGTCATCCTTACTCAACTTAGAAGTGCAATGTCGTCAATGACAATGACAGCACTTGAAAGCAGTGAGCAAGACAGGAAATATGCGAAATATAGGAGTTTGAAAGAGATGCACAATTTATTAGCGTAACATTTTCTCAATCTGTTTCGTGGGGTCAAGAATAAATTAAAATTAAACGGAAACGAATACAAAATCAAATGTGATAAAATAATTTGTTTAGCGTATATTTTTAATTTTGTTTTATTCTATATAAATTATCTAAATTGCCAATCCACTGTCATGGAAATATAATGTATTTTGTTGTTGTCTCAAAATAAACGACGTCAAACAAAAATTATCATTGTTGTTCTATGCCTGCATTGCAGCATTGGCCGTGGCTTCTATGGATTTATTTAAAGGTACGTACTAGTTGTTTTTCATTATTATTTTAGTCAGAATCACATCTGTTACAAAGGAGTAGTATGTCGGTAATTAATCCTTTGACGCGATTACGTCGAACTTTATCAAGGCCGTGGTCCGTGCTGTCTCGTACCTGGCACGCGATACTGAGTTCAGAGTTGGAAGCACTGCGGAGTAGTGTGCATTAGTGTTCGGTGGGTGGATCTCGATATCATAATATTTTTATCGCGGCTTGAGTAGCGGCTCATTGCGCGGTAATTCTGTCAAACAATTGTTATACTCGGCCCGAGCTGTACGCAGTTTGTTGCGATCTTTGTCCTCGCATCGCCGCATTCGTGGTTCAATCTACGATTACTAACACAGTATCACAGTCATTGACTTTACAGTAGACAAAGTGTTGTTTGCAATCTGGTACAAGGCAAGAGTTCCATAGGATTTACAAAGTGAGTTTGTGTTCAAATTCAACAGTTTTTTTTACAGTTTGCTAAGTGTGTTAGTGAGTTGTTAAATTTATGAGTCATTAATTTCTTACTAGAATCTTCAAAACTTGTTTTGTGAGAAGTTTTTATCATTGTGTGTTTAATATGGAAATACCTACCACAAAGCATCATTATATGTATGTTGTTATAATCATTTGATGTTATCAGTTAATACATCTGCTAGTCTGTAAGAGGCACACTTCTCAACCATAGGAAACCATTAATGATTTGTAACTTAATAAATTTTATAATTTTCTGCTTAGGTGAAGCCTTTAATGTAATTTTTCTCAAATCAATATGTAGCTTTTAAAATTATTCAAAGAATCTGATGAATTTAGGTCTAGGTAGTAATAATCAATTCAAATTCCAATTATGAAATATTAAAACAGTTAACTTTGAATCAAGGCTGAAGTTTTATGAATTATTTATAGTAGAATTATTTTAAATATATATGTACTTTGACTTTTATTATAGTTTATACCTATTTTTTATCAATGAATGGACTTAATATTCATACATAACATGAACATAATGAAATCTGTTCAGTAAACAAACTTAAAATTTATTTAAGGATATGTATTTTATGCTAAATAAAGTTTTATTTGTCCACAGATATGAAAGGGCCAACACGGCCGGCACCCAGTATCCCTAACATGGGTGTGAACAGATACTCTCCTGTTACAAACTGGGACAATGATCCCTTTGGTGCAGATGTCTTTGAGCCATCACCACATTTTACACAGAAAAAGAAACCTCCACCACGTCCTCCACCACCCAAGGTTACCAAGCAACCTGATATTCCAGCAAAACCCTCACACTTTATAAGAAAGCCAACAGTACTCTCTTCCTTATTAACTCGTAAATCTAAAACAGTAGTGCATAATCAAAATGTGAATGTAACCCAGCCGAGTATAATAAAGGATGTGAACAGTGAAGTGGACACTCTTAAAATGTTTCCTAAATGTGAGCCAAAGAATGTGCAGACAGGTGCTTTGATAGATCTCTCGTCGCCTCCAAGCTCTCCTACATTCACCACCAGGTCGAGCAGTGATGGACTCAGTGTGGACAGCTTTGGTTCAGATGCCACTACATCCACCAATCATCACAATGCCCACAATGGTGGAAATGCCTCTCAAGCTGAGAGTGGTTTTGAAGATGATTTCGATCTGTTCCTACACTCAAGGAAACCTGTGAGTAAGGAGGATACAATGGATGACTTTACCTCTATTGATCCTTTCTCACCCCAGCCTGTAATGAACAAACCTCCTTTGAAGAAAAAGCCTATTTTAAGTAAGGAAAATGTTTATGAAGTTTCAAGTAACTTCACGAGTCACGTTTCGGCTCCGATATTGAAAGGTCCGACGATAATCCGCGCGAAGCCAGCCAGGCCGAAACCTCCGGACAACTCGGCGTTATTGAAGAATACGTTTGGAAATAGTTTCCCTGTGACCACCATGACTGTGAACACCACCACACCCATACAAAAGGTCTCCAACGGATTCGGTGATAGTTTCGTAAGTACCTACATTTGTATACCTACCCTTGATTTCACTTAGATGTTGTAATCGTTAATGACTACGGTTAATTTGTCGACTCACTTAAAAATTAAAGTTTGACAATCATTTTCCTTTTTGATATTGGAAATAAATAAATAAAACGCTATCCGCGGTCTACGTTTCGGCTCATGAATTAACAATTTCTTATCAAAAAAGGTGATTAATCAATGATATTTGTTATTAGTCATCAATTTATCAAAGAATCTTGCAGAGTAGGCGGACCCTGTTTGTTATTACGAAAAATCAATCGATTCGATATTTTAGGTTATATATAACACAGTGCTTTATTTGTATGAGAGAAAATAATAACAGGATGTACCGCATCTCTACAGCAGACCTCAATGTGGGTTAGGCATCCATGCTATTTGCGTTCATGACCGTACCCACTAATTAAGGTGCGTTAAATTTGCATGATAATTATTTCAATGTCCGTGAGCTCTATGTTTAATTGTGAGTTTTCATTAAAACGATAAAAATAAGTAAGGAGCGTCACATCAGATAATTACCTTTTTAGATACCTACTTTAGATACTTAGATCACGTATTTTTCGTAATCTTAGTTCCTGTTTCTTTATGTCTGGATTGCCAATATTGCCAGACAAATTTAGATATAGAGCTTAATTTGTACCACATAATTATTTGCTACAAAACTGTATCGGGTACTTATATGAAGGTGGTGATCCAGATCTTCAGACTTTATAGTCATGTAAAGGTACTGATTTCGATCAAATAAATAAACACTTACCTTTACTTAACTTCTAATAACTTAGTACAATCTTTTAACTAAAGCTGAGACAAAAACTAAGCACATCTTGTAACTCGAATGTAGTTTCAATAGATTTCTAGAAAAACATAGGTTTAAGGAGTGCAAATAATGACAAAAAGTGACGACTTGTTAAGTAATTAACTAGCTTTTTCTCTAGGCTGCGCCCGCATGGTTTGTTGATAAAAAAACCCGTGTGTTAATCCAGGGTAACTCCTATCTACACACCAAATTTCAAACAAATCGGTCCAGCCGTTTTTGTTTGAAAGAATAACAAACATCCATACTCTCATCATCTGTCTCTCTCAGTTTTATAATATTATAGGTTTAGTAGAATTTTAGAGAGTAATTAGGAAATAAAATGATCAACGCCACTGGTTATTTATTGATCGAAGTTGAAGCTTATTAATTTTTTTGGTCAGTCCATCTAACGTTAGTGCATCATACGACACTCTCATCACCTTTTATGAAATGCAGACTCGAAAATATGGAACTGTTAACGTCGGTAGCGTAGGAGTCGTGACTGACCATTAAAGGATGCCATCAGCTATCTTATCCGCATATACCTACTACATTATTATATATATTATTCGTCACCATTTACGTAACAATATCACTACTACAAATGATGTCTTGCAAGCCTTCAACTATAATATCCCGGTAGTCAGTCAATAGAATTACTATTATAACAGTTACTACTTAACATGCACCGCCTTTTTTGTGAGGAGTGAATCATTATATATATGTGCTCTGCCGCCCAGGGAGTGTCCGACTTTTAATGACTAAATCACCCCTGTTACTTCTCCTGCTCTAGGCCGACGCTGCAGTGCCTTGCCCTGGATCCCCGGCTGTAATATGCACATCTAATGTCTGACCTATCTCTATCAACAAATCATTGTCAAACTTTGATGACTGATAAGGGTCAAAATCAACATTCGTTTTCCCAAAAAAATGTTGTCTTTATAGCTAATTGTTATCTGGAATATCATTGAGACCAATAACACGTATTACGTATAATAGTATAGGTTATCGTTCTTGGTTCTAATTCTAGAAATGTGCAATATCAATATTATACAATGATAATTGCAGAGAAACGTCATTTGTTGTTATTCTGATTACAAACAAAACGTTTAACTTTGGAGGTCACCAAAAACATCTCATAAGTTGTCTATTAGCAACTTTAGCACTAGATTGAATTCAAACAATAATACTTAAAAAATGATGACTCTAACTAAGACAATTTTGATGCGCTTTACGTTCCACAAATTTTCAGCACACAGATGTTTTGAACACGGAAAATAGTTTGAAATTCTCGCTAATTAAATACTTGTGATCCTTAAAAAATTTGGTTTAAAATATCTCAGTCTTTGTATTTGCATACTATAATAGCAATGACCTTCAGCCATT